CAAATTTATTTGTTCTATTAAATTAGCAGTGAAATTTAGTTTAAAATAAATAAAGAATTAGTCAAAGTTGCAAAATGATATAAATATTATTATGAATAAATCACTTCAATAGATAATTAAATTTATTACTTTATTCATTACATTACGTACAGATTTTCATATATCAAATTAAAAACAAAAAAAGCTCAAAATATTATAAAAATTATATATTATAAAAATTATTATAAAAATATTATAAAAATTATAAAAATTTTCTTTATTTAATACAAAATTATTTAATTTAATTGATTATTTCATTTATTTATTATAGAAGTTATCGAATTCATTACAGTAACATACCTGCAATTGGAATATCTATAACTGTAACCGGTAGGAAATAAAAATGAGCGGTGTCACAGCTTTTTTGAACCATTTATTTTGCTTTAATATTTTATGCTCATAAACAGTATAAATTGCCTGTAATTAAAAAGTTAGAAATTAATTAATCAATGTTGTAACAATTAGAATATTTACCGTTTTTTTGTTGGTAAATTTTAAAACTTATCAACATTTTTCAGGCTTTATACTACAATGATGAAATGAAATGAATTCGACCAATGTTTAATTTTGTTTTGCACATATACAACTAAGTAAAATTAATTCTTTTACATAATAAAATTAATGAGAAAAGATGGGGAAAATGAAATGCCCAAAGTATTATTTGAATACTTCCATATGTTTTAAAAAGTAATAAATGAATATATGTATAAATAAAAAAAAAAAAAACTTACAACGCCTATTATTACGATCGAACTAAGATACAAAAGGACAACTATAGCGAAATAAAACATTAGTGTAAATTTAACAATGGTGGCATTTTTAACAAATAATAAAATTGAAACTGGAATTGAAATTACTTGTGCACATGAATGAATAAAAATGAACACATGTGATTTTCTGAAATGCATTCGAAAATTACAATTTATTCATTAAATTTTATTGAATCAATTTTCAACATTGTTCGTTCATCTGTGATATTTTTGAATCCTGGATATAAAACCGATATTTGTTAATTACATTCACTAATTAATTAATTTTATGGAATGGATGTTATATATGTATGAAAAAAAAAAGTGATAAGTTAAAATTTCAACTAACCTCCTATATAAAGCTTTCAAGGCATTCACTTCCAAAGCATAAATGCTATATATTTCAAGAATACAGAGGAATAATATTAAACGTGTCAATGTAAATGATATTAATCGAGTATATGTTGCAAACCAAAATATCCTGAAAAAGAAAAAGACGAAATTTCATTCCTTAAATTTTTCATTTTCCAACTTTTATTTTAAGTGTTGAATTTGAAATTGATCAAAGTTTCTCAAATAATACGTTTAGTAACAGTTATTCATATTGCTTACATCACGTTGATTTGTATTTGTACAAAACGGAAAGTAAATTTATGAGTTGTAATTTTTACACAACTTTGTAACTCATTTTCAATATATTTCATTATGAATGTTTTGAAGCTGAAATTTTGAGCATTGAAAATTAGCATAATGTACCGGAAGTAATCAGTCAAGTATGATGCAGTGATACTCATTATTCATTTATACTCTTTAGAAGCTACAAATAATTTAAACATTATAAGGTATTACTTCATATTGAAAAGTATTTTAGAGTAATTTTGTAGTGAATATCTTAAAATTATAAATGTCAATAACAGCAATAGTAAGAAAACAATTAGTAAACGCAACGATATGTTAAAAAATACTTATTTTTAGCTCATATTAATAACAGTAACAATAATATTAATATGACTAAAACACACACACACACCACACACACACACACACATGCACACACACACACATACACATACACACTGTTATTATTAGCATGAATGATAATTAAAATTAAATACAGTATTAATACGAAAA